AAAATTCTGCTGGTGGAAATGTTGTGCTTTTCTTCTCTACAGCTGGTTTTTCATAMAGAGAAAAGTAAAATTGGATTTAGCACCGGCCTTCATTCTTACCAAGAGAAATGATTGGAAGTAGAACCATTAATGTGGATAATTCTTAAAGCAAAAACGTGAAAATTAAAAGACAATTACTTTGTGTATATGTAAATGCAATGTATGTGTCCATGTGTACATAAAGTGAATCACATGTAAATTAAAGAAACAAAACCACATCATAACCAGAGGAAAAAATGTTTTAAAATTCTGATGACTTCCACATTTTACACACTTTAACATAATTATGTTGGAATTGGTAGCTCACAAAACCAAAATTTCTATTATTCAAAGAAGATCTGAACTCGATTTCATAAAGCTGGGAGGGTTTTTGCTGAGATTCCTTTCCTCTGTTTTATTTTACAGATGTTGTTTTATTGTCTGTTGGGGCAGCATAACTGTTTCTCAAATAAAACCAACAAATGAAGATTAAAATGTCTTAATCCAGTGAGTCAGCAGTCAAATATATCAATAACCTTGACACAAACGTCTTGGAACTCATGGAAATTAATGCTCTAAAGAGTCTTTCTAAGCAGAACTGTAGAGGCTGCACAATAATAAAGTTATAGAGATTTGTCAGAATGGATTCTTTAGCATTTAGAGTGTAATTAAGMTTTTAAAAATAAACGTGCAACATGTTATTAAAGGTTTACACCTCTATCCTACCGTGCAATTAGAGAGTTGTCCCACATGTGSTACAGCACTACAAGACTCCACAAGAATTTATTTCCCAGCACCAGGAACTTGAGTTGGTTTTTGGGCGTGTCCTCATCCCACCGAGGGATGTTCAGGCCAAGCTCTTCACCTCGGTGTTTGTTCCGTGGTTTGTTTTGGAGGAGTTACACTTTTGTGATTCTTTAAGCTCTTTACAACTCCCTCATCTCATTTGCACTGCTGGAGATCTTTAAACCCACTCTCTTCATAGTTAAAAACAACGTAACAAGATTAGGCCGGGAGCCAAGGAAATCAACCCCGTGCCAACCAGGCTTGGAATTCTAATTAGAGCATCGTTTGTATTAACCTCCATTTTCCACCATAAGGACAATATTATCACTTCTGTGATTGTATCAGGGCAGGAATTATTGATTCCAGCGATTTATTGCRTGAGGGAAGCAATAAAATGTAATCCTAACAGGACAGCTCGGGGGGAGTTATTAATAGAAAAATTACATTAATCTGAAAATGCTTAATAGAAATGTGAAAAGGAGAGAGCCGTTCACTAGCGAGGAGAATTTGATAAACACGAGTATGCACGAGAGTATAGATGTCCTAATCTAGTAAAAGGTGTTTCGATATTTTGGAATTTAGCATTTGGTTAAATTTTCAGGTATTTCACATCACCACGTGAGCCATAACAGTGAGACATTAAATAAAGAAATTTCAGGAAAAAGTAAATTTTGAAGAATATTATTTGGTGAGTGATCTCTCCAAAATGCACCAGGATACCAGCCAGAACAATCTTTCATGTAAAATGATAAATTTTAAACTTGAGCCATGTATTTTAATGAAAATTCAAATACCTTAATGAACTTACAAGTCAATTCTGTGGCTTAAATCAGAGATACTTTATCACTCTCTTGTACTGAAGAGTTTTGAAAGCATGCACAGAAATAAATATTAAAAATACATAAACAATACCAATTCAACTATCTACAACAGGTAAAATTAAAATAATATTCAAATTTCAAACAGAAAATTGCCTGACTATCAGTATGATCAATGCCTGGATATCCCCACTGAAACCTTTGCCATTCTTTGTGCAAAATAAACTTAACATGAGCCCAAGAAAAACTGGGGAAGTGTGGAACGAATGTGTTTATCACAATCTATTTACCAGACTAGAATCATATATGAACATGAATCTCAAAGTGTGAAAACACTTATGGTGCATGTTCTAGCAGCTGTTTTGCAATGGAGATGTTATTTTTGTTTTTGTATAGAGAAAAACATAATAAATTAAATCATAAAAATCCTTTAAAGTTCGCTATCCTAGAAAATAAATCAGCAAAGCTTCAAAATTTTCATGACATTATTAATTGTGCTTTGAGTGATGCATGGAGAGTTCAAATCTTATTGCCATGTGACAAAAACTCCTTGAAAAAACAACTCAATTCTTCACAGGATATCTCAAAATTATTTCTCATCTGTATGAATTTAAGAACATTTCTTCTCTGTGGTAGACCAAGTTAAAGAATTCTGTGTGAAGAAGAAACTCCCTATAAAACCAGCCATGAATATACAGTTGAATATTATACAAACTCATTTCTGTCCCATRTYCCAGGCCAGGTTGGATGGRGTTTGGAGCATCTAAGTCTATGGAAAATGTTCTTGCAAATAGCAGGGAATGGGATGGGATGAGCTTTAGGGTCTCTTTTGCAGATTTGTGTGCAGAAATTCCCAGGTTCTGGCAGCTGAGATGGAAATGCAGATGGGAACTTGTTGCTTTAGGCTTAAAATCAAGCTCAGCTGCAACAAAACCTTTTTCAAATATTTCTCAAGCCTATGAAAATTTATAAAGCTTTGGTTGGTGTTTTAYGAGTCACTGGGCTCAGTTTCATTTAAGAAGTTAATTTCTATTTTGGAAGACTCTGGAAGACAACCATCTGAGAGGAACTTGACTCTCCCCAGAAGTTTATTGCCTCTGCAGCTCTTCTGAACACTGAGCAGAGCAATCTTACATTTTAATGCATTCAGAAGTAGGAAAAGTTCCTTCCCCAGGAAAATATGATTGATTGTTACAATGACAGTAATTGCATTTTAGTAAAAGTAACCATTATGGTAATTTTCCTCTAGAAAGAGACATTTAACTAACTTAAGTAACTTGTTACTTTTCAACACATTAACTTTGACAAATTTAACATTACAAACGTACAGAGTTCACAGCCACAACAACGTGCATCGCTTAGGGAGTGTGCACACTTTTTATTTCTATATATCAAGCAGTGTTTCCAAATAGGAGATGCTAAAAAAACTGTGCATACATAACACAGCATTAATTAAACTGTTAAGAGCAGCTATAGCACATCCCTTGCCAAGTCTCCTGTCGAAAAATCCTTCCTTCCAAGCAGCAAACTGGGGAGCCTTAGGAGATATTAATTCCTAAGYGTCTACAGGGATAAAATTCCAATTCTGGAGCTGCAAGGATCTTGGGAAAGCCGAGCAGATCAACAGGAGCTCATGGCACAGCAGGAGAGGTGGGCGGGTGAATGACAGACRCAGGAAAGCAAAGAAGGTGCAGAACTCGGCAGCTTTGGAGCACAGGGAGCAATTCCTGTCACAGACTCTCTGCTACGGCATCACAACTTCCAGAAGTTTTAAAAAAAGAAACAAAATCAGCATTTCATTCCATGGATGGTTCCCAAGCATGACCTGAATCCCAGCCTAACCCCTGAGAACTCTGCAGCTCTTCACAATGAGAGTTTTTTCCAACCTGTTATTTATAAACATTTAATGCTTGTTGTACCTTCTTATTAAAAGTGTGCTTTCTGATAATTAAGAACTCCATCCTAAAAGAATTTAATCATCCGGGGTTCCTCTCCTACAACTTCACAAGAGTTAAAATAAAACCTCTCTGTCTTTACTTTAAAGATAATAATCATTCCTTGTGCTTTAAAGGAATTCTAAACCAAAGCTCAGYGAATTTCCATACTACTGAACATTTTTACACTAGAAAAGAGCTGAAATTAATCTGGATTTAAATTTTGTTTTTAAGAAATTTCCTTTAAATGGAAATATCATAAATTTGAATTCCTATCCATCAGATTTAAAATTTTCACTTAGTTTTTCCAACTTCTTTGATGGAACAGTTTAAGTATTTGGCTGGAAGAGTCAATGGTTTTACCTTATTTAGAGATCCCAGTCATATTTTTAAGGAAAATAACACAGATGCTACAAARTGGAGAAAAGACTAGAGAAAATTACAGAGGGCTAAGAAATAAAAGTTAAGAGTATTAACCTGTGCTATTTCAAAGTCTGCTGAATTGCTTTTCCAGTAGCAGCCTCGCAGATAATTTGAGAAAAACCATTAATTCTTCTTCTCTAGTACTTTTTAACTTTTCAGAACTTAGTAAATTAGTCAATTATTTTCTTGGCTTTTATAACCAAAAGCAACTCTTASGTTGCAAACTCTTACTGAAAGAAAAGCCAGAACCCTTGAACAGACAGAATGGATTGGAAATCCACACAATTCAAGGAATCTTTATTTCCAAWGTTTTCAGGSTGTGGTGAAGTCCCCATYCCTKGAGRGATTTCAAAGCTGTGGGGATGTGGCACTTGGGGACATGGTGCAGTCATGGCCTTGGCAGGGYTGGACTCAATGACCTTGGAAGATTTTTTTCCAACCTATCAAAATTCTATTTCTATATTCTAAATATTTCTAATTCTATATTCTAAAATCATTTCAATAAGATTAAAATCTTCTCACTACTGTTCATCACCTACTACATCACAATGACAGAATATTCGAGAAAACCTCAAAGTTAGTTTGGTCGTTGAAAGCTGAAGGGAAATTAGGGATAAATCAGAGACTGCCACACAAACAGCCATAACCCAGGACACACGTGAAGAGCTTCCTGACATTCCACCATGGAATTTTGTGAGATTATTTTTATAACACGGTGTCCTAGTTACTGTTGAGAAGAGGAGGAAACTTCCAGTTTAGACAGAATTGGCAATCGACCTCTATAATTAGTCCTTTATCTTTCCCATGTGTCCTGAATGACATGAGGCAAACTCCACACCTGAGTTTTGCTTGGCAGGGTGAAGTTAATTCTGCAATATTAGCTAAGAAATGGATGATTTGGGACATTGGCCTTTGCAGGGCCAGAGGTGATGTTTTATCCAGTACAACTCAGAATAATATCTGCATTTTGATCAGGTGTTAAAAAAAAAAAAAAACAACTCACAAACAAAGCCATCAATCAGGGGGGTTATTGTCACTTTTCCTGCCCATTCCCACAAACTGCCTGTTCCCTGTAAAGAAAGTTCTGTGCTTCTATACCCAACATCATAAGAAATGTCATTTGTGGTGAACAAAACTCCGTAATTCCTTGTAATCCAAGGATAAACCACTTGTGAAACTCACAGATTATTTTAGCAGAGTTTTGGAGAAAACGAGCTGCTCCAAGTGTCGGATTGTAACACTGACAAGCACAGGTCACCCAAGTCCTGGAGTTTCCTTCCATTGTTTTGTTGCATAAATACTGACTGTAACTACCTAATACAGAAAGTATCTGCTGTGAGAGGATAGAAAAATATTTTCGAGGGTGTGGAAACATGTTTTGCTTAGAGACAGTTTGGATCAGRGAAGATACAATTGGATGTTTCTAAGAGAAAATTGGTTAAAGGCAGGCAGGTGATAGAGACAAAATTAGTCCAGGGTCACACCCTGGGTTCTCTCCAAGGTGTGCCTTGGGAGTCAGGGCATAAAAATATGCCCATTAATCCTCTTGGAGAATATCTGCCTGTTTAACAAGGAGCCACAGTTTAAACTCCAGTTCCACAAGCCCTTTAAAAACCAGCCCTTGCAACAAAAAGCAGCTCCTGGTTTCTTCACACACTTGTTGTGGTCTCAGCCCCAGGAAGGTGCAGACCTTCAAGCCAGCATAAATATTGGAGAGACTGGGAAGGAGGGGAGTTCAGAAAGGAGTTTAAAGCTGATGTTTTGCTTTGGCTTCTTGGCTGGGCTGGTTTTAACCCAAATCAGTTCCCCAATCAATTAAATGTGCAGCTGCAGKAACATTTGTGCAGGGCAGGGCGGCATCTCTGGCTTATGCCGGCTTAAAGTGTTTGTGGAAGTGCAGCAGGAGTGTAACTGAAGAGCTGCTATAGCCTAACACTGCCAATAATCCACAAATGCCATTCCACAACACAGGAATAGTTAAAGCATATAAATGGCCCAGCCATGTGCTGTGCAGTGGGGCCTAACAGAGGAGAGCTCAGAAATCACTGTAACAGCTCGAAAAATATCAAAGATTTGAGGTAACTGTGTGTTCCAAGAGCAAGGACAAAACTCTGATTGCCAAGGCAGTTGCATCACAGGATGATGGATGAGGACATGAGAAATGTGCTCGGCAGGGCTTCACAGAGCAGCTCCTGGCAGGGAGCAGGGACACGCCTGGGGCATTGTCCTCACCTCCCTCAGCCCAACCTGTGCTGCCATCGCAGGATCCTCTTGGAGCCTGAATTTGCAGCTTGTCTTCTCTTCATGAGCCACTTTCAAACCTTGCTGCTTAAAGTTGCTGGTAATGCTCCAAATGTAGCAGAGAATCCGACTGAAGGAATAGCAGAAACACCAGAAGAATCCATTTAGAAATAACACTCCCATTACCATTTCACTGAAATATCAACATGAGCCCTGGACACCCTGAACACTGCTTTTATATAATTTCACAAAGAGCTGGATTGCACATGTGCAGATCCATATTTGTTGTCTTTACCTTGAAGGCCAAGCTCAGTGCCTCAGTATATCCTACAATTTCTAATCTGTCTGAACACTTTATCTTCATTTCTATCCTTCAYTAATATCCTACCATAAGTATTATTCCAAGTATTTGAAGCTATTTTTAATGGAAAATATTRTAATTTCATTCCAGTTAAATTTTAAAAACACCTCAGCAAAAAGCACATCTTTACCTGGTACAAAGCTCAAGTACAATTTAAACAAATTAATAATGTAGAAGAAAAATCACCTGTTAACATATACCAAACATGTATTATATATTGTTCTAATCAAAGTTTTTCTGAGATAATAGCTTTTAATGATAACAACATGCTATGATTTTTAAATAATAGGATTTTTTAAGTTTATTTCAATATTTTGAAGCTTTTTTGCTAAATATTTGACAACAAATCTTCACTACAGTCAGGATTCTTCCAGAATCCTGATACTATGGATGAAACATCCAGCCACATCTTAGTCCTCCCCTTCAGCAGCACAAAACACACAGAGCTCAGGGAATTGCCTCATATATTTTAATGACAATGAAACTTGGAAATCAGTATAGATTTGGACTATTTTTTGTAACAGATCATTAAAATAAAAACATGAATCAAACAGAGAGGAAAAACTCTTGCCTCAGCCTGAGAACTTTCATGGTAGTGTCCATTAAACTCGGCAAGAGCTGTTGCCTGAGCTTTCCCAAATCTGAAAACTCAACAGGACCTGAGCAGACAAACTTGGAGCAAGCACCCTCAACAAAAAAATAAAAGTCCAAAAARGTACTGCCATGCACAATTCCAGGAGTAAAAACCTGATCCTTCAACCCAAATTGCGGCCAAGCAACTGTTCCAGAGGAATAAGCCCTCAAACCCATGGGAATGTCTCTCCTGGGAGTTGTTTAAGCTTCCTTAATGCTCTTAATCCACCTTGATATTGAACTGCCAGACACTCTGGCACCCACCTTCCCCCTTCCAAATAGCTGCTCAAGGCTCTGAGCATTTCTTTTCCCTCACTATAGATCCTGACAGGTTTAGGACACAGATCAAGTTTTCCAACTGTGCTTGTGGCCTTCCACCTCACTGGAAGTGAAAACCTCTCATGAACTTTGAAAAAAGATAAGCAATGTTTTGGGGCATGTGTTAAAAAATCCTGTATCTGTGTGTGTGTCCTTCAGCTTCCCAAAAGCTCCAGATGAAAAAAAAATTCCAGTTTCATGGAAATTAATTACCTAGGTGTATGCACTATGTATCACTACATAAGTATCTTAGAGGTAAATTTTCACTGCCTAAAGAATTTCAAGGTAAAAAAAAAAAATATGAGCCTTTATATTAGAAGGGTTGATGCTGCATAGAAAGCTTTCCATGTAAATGGAAAAAAAAAGGTTAAATGTTGTTCATTTTAAACCAGCCTGAACTGAAAAAAACTTCTCACTCTAGGGAGTAAACAGTTTTGCCATCTGAGACATCAACATTATCTTTCAATGTATGAATTTGAATTATTAGAAAATAATTTGCAGATGGATTTACTCCAAACCTATTCAGCAGTAGAAGCTGGAGAAGGATTTAGCTCCCCAGTGGCCTACAACGAGTAAGAGCAGCAGGCTGGGATGTTCTGCTGGTTGCAGAAAAAAGATTATGGGGTTGAACTTACAGAACTTGAAATCACCCAGGAATGGCTCAGCCCATCCATCTTGTCAGGGTACAATCACCAGAGAGAAATGTTCCAGCTGGATTCTCCTYRTGGCACCTATGAGGTGTTCCCTGAGAGAATTCCAAGCCTAGAAACTTGCACTGTCTTTCTTCAGATCCGAAATAGGTCAAATTTGGGAATCTTCCATACTTTTTCCAATGAAACCTGTAACGTGCCAGATTTTCAGGAATTACAGCACTTGGGGAGAGGTATTATTTCTGTCACAGTGAACAGGAACAAAGRGGTGCCTGAGCTGCTGTTGGCAGGATTATTTTAATGCTATTTAAATTCTGTGCAGAAATTATGAAATCCCTAAATCACTGATTATGGGCTGCAACCAAAACACATTGACTTAGGSCCATTCACACCCATTGTCCCAGAGTCACACTTGTGACTTCATCAGGATTCCTGCTCCATTCCCACATAAATGCCTCCAGCAAAGATTCAGATAACAGCAGGAACAGCAGGAGCTACATTTCTTTTGAAGAAATGGGCCTCAAATCATATTCCAATCTTTCTCCTTTGCAGAAAGGCTTTTTTGGCCTAAAACTGCTGCATCTGGAAGAAAGACAACTGCTTGTGCCATGTAATGTGTTTGTCAGGGTTCATTCTACACTCTCCAGTGATCAGCCACAATAAACCCTAAAATCATTGGCAGTTTGTTCATTATCATGGATCTTCACCTTCTTTTTCTAAAAATCCCAAATTTTCAAATGCAATGCCCATGGACGATTTGATAAATACTTGACTCCATGTTACCAACCCTTTCTGAAGCCAGTTAGTYCCATTTTGGAGCCTCAATTTCTTGGCATTTTAGCAAAACCAATAATTAATGTTTGAGTCCCAATATCCTCCAATCCATCTAAATCTTCCAGAATCCCCCTTCCCATTATCATTCTATAAGAATTCTGCAGGAAACTCTATTATTATCTGTTGAACCAAAAACTGGCATTCATTTGTCTTCCCCAGCACTCATCTTCTCYGAGACATCGATCTGAACCAAAAAATATTTCCAGGAATGTTCTCCTTACTGAGGTTTTAAATTGCCCAAGTATCAGCCAGCTCTCCCAATCCCAMTCTTCAGTCCTTACAGAAAACTCCTAGGATATTTTGAATGACACCACAAGTAATTACATCTATCCATGCATTTTTATTTCAAAAGAACCAAAAGTCATATTGACACAATAATTCTAAAGAGCACACAATTGAACACTCTTAAGATCTGACAATCTCTCCTCACTTGGACACTTCACACTCTTATTTCTTATGGCTATTTAATTACAAATTGTTGGCACAAAATATTTAAAACTCTATCAACAAATATATGTATAAAGCCTTTCAAATGAGTGCAAAAGATCTTTAAAATCTGGTATCACTGTCAGGACGCTGTAGCAAAAAGAAACAACAAACACTTGTCACATATTTTCAGAATCCTTCAAAAATAACATTGAAAACATGACAATGTTGCAGAACTTTTGCATTCTGTGATGAACACAGAGTCAGTTTATAACTGAGTATATAAATTATGGTGTATTCTGAGAAGGAAAATCTCTGCACAGACCTTGAGAACCTCATTTTCATAGCACAGACTGGGATTTTAGGAATTCAGCTTGGACTTCCAARAAAAGGGATTCTACAGTAGAAATGAGGACTATAAAAAAAATCCAGAAAATGTAATTTTTCTGTAAAATATGGATGAAATCATAGCTAATAAATGCCAGTGATAAAACCCTGTGATAAAACAAAATGCCCCTAAGAGACAAGGGAGTGTCTGAAAGCAACCAGAAGCTCCAGTGGGATGATTTTTTTCTGACAAGGTACTGCAAATCCTAGAAAGAAACATCCCTCCCTCCTCCAGGAAAATAGGTTTGGTAGTTTGGAAACCCGGCAAAAGTGTTAAAGGAAGCAAAAACTTGGATAACAGGTCGAATGGGAAAAATAATCATTGGGTCAAGTGGAGCCTTTACTGAAACAACTTGATGGACATTGTATCAAAGTGGTGATTTCTGGAATATTTTGTATCTTTGTGTTTGTTTTTGAACTTGAGGCAAGAAAAAAATTCCCCGTAGCATGAGGTCTGCYGGGTGCAGGTGTTTAACTGAAAAAKGAATTTGTCACATGCAYAAACTCACTACAAAAASAGCTTTACAGAWATGATCCAGGCCAAATCCTGTCACTGCTCACGAGAATAAAATGATCCCACTTTRGTCCAACACCAAAACAGGGCTGTGATTTCAGCTTGTACTTGACTTTTACCGGATTCAACAACTCCATCTAAAATTTGTAAGTTTGATATAAAGCATAAMAGAAGAACATTTTGATGGTCACCTATATTGCAAAAGCATTTCAGAGGGAAGTTTTCCATTTCACTTCAGTTCATCAATGTTTAAARGGTTAATTAATTCCACATTTTCTCATGTTTTCAAGCTGTACTACTCATAGAACTGTAAAGTACCWCAATAGTTTTGGAACAGAGGAAAAAATGCAAAATAATGGATAATTTGTAGTAATTTTATTATCTGTCCACAACAGCAAAACTGAAAATTTGTATTAAAACTCTTTTAGAATGAGTTTCATGTGAGTCATGCATACAAAAGTAAAAATACTTTAAGGCAGTTATTTACCTTTTCTAAAATAAAATAATTTAGGCTGCCRTCCAGTACTTGTACTTTTTCCCAATGGAAAGTGAAGCTGAGTGGTAAGGAGGACAGCCCTGGGAGAGATTAATTTCTTGCCATTTTGGTCCTTTTTTGGTTTGGTTATATAAGGACAGTGTCTGAATGGGGTCTTCTCTTCCTTCAGACTTTCAAAGGGGGAATGACTTCGACCACAAGGCAAGATGAAAGAGATAATGACAAGGATTCTCTCTGTTGGTGTCACTYCTGATACTACAAACCCCAATTTTTCTCTCTTTACATTTAAAAAATGCTTCTCTCAGTGCTCTGCTTGAGTCCTGCACAAAAACTCCTTTCCTATCACGTTGGGTTTTGTGTTGATTCAGTGCTAAGTGTGGGAATAGCAAAGGCACAGCTGAAAGCAGCCTCAATTCCTAGCAGTGCTCCAGAGAGAAAAATGAGACATTGCTGGGTTTTAATTCTCCTCATTATTCCCTAGAAGGAAAAGTTATATTTGTGCTGCCTCTAGGCAAAGCCCCATCCCACATGAACAAAAGACTGGAGCTAAGATCACATCCATTTCATCTCCTCCTGCTCTCCACAGATGCTTAAGTCCCTGACACTGTGTCTTCAGTGCTCATATGTCACAGTAAATGATTCATTAAAAATGCAGAGACAGATTGATCTTGGAAGGGGGGAAAAAAAAGATCTGGAGTTTAAGGCGAAAGGAAAATAGAAATGAGGAGCCAAAAGGTGAAAAAGGGAAACACCCCTAAAATTCACATGAGAAAGACATTTAAAAATAAAGAGGAGACAGCAACTGTGCTGACATTTAATATGTCTGCTTAGGATAAAACTCATCCTTTAACTAGCAATAAAACAACAGCCTAGSCCAAAGCCCTTGAAGCATTCTGCACCAAGTACCTCGTAAAAATGGTTGGCAATTTCTCCTGAGGTCTGTGCAAGATCTGCACCAAACAATACTTTTTTTTTTTTTATTTTTTTTAAAGTGTAATTAAATGGGAGCAAATCCCTAAAGTGGGTATGGAGAGCTCCCTGATCCCAGCCACCAACGCTCATCCTAATTCATGGATCACTGACTCCCATTCAGCCTCAAAAGTGGGAAGGAAAAGGRAGGAATAAGCTCCACTTGGGATTCCCGTGGTGCTGATAAACGGGTGATTGAAAGAGAAACCCTACAGAATTACTGTGTTTGTGRTATTTGCTGGATGGCCAGAAGGATTTACTCTGCTGCAGGGATCCTGCAAGCAAAAAACCCACCCCTGCCTGAGGATAATAAGCTCCTTGAGTAAGAGACACCTCCTTACCATGACATCCATACAAATTCTCTTATGTAGGTGACACATTTATTCTATTTTTATCAAAAACAATTGGTAAAATAGGAATATGGACCTTAATTTACATTCTGTAGGCAAGAAAAAAAAACCCCAACAACAGAGCCAAATCCCTGCAATGGGAAGTACATATATAAATATATATTCACACACACACCAGCAATATTTTTAGCTATAATTTCCTACTCATGTGGCAACATGACCAGCGTTCTGAAGAAGCTGAGCCAAGTGAAAACACAACCTGCAGAACAGGTCACGTTTAAATATTCTGCTATTGAAGAATATTAAAAACTACAGATTAAGTAGGAGTGTTGTAACAYTTAACATTAATTAACGCTTGTAAATCATTCTGAAATACTTGGATAAAAGATGGCATAAAAGGTGTTGCCACATGTCTTGATGCTTCTAGATGTGCACAAGTCCTGACATCTTATTTTGTGTTTGGGATGTTTCAAATCATAAAAAAATATGGTCACTGGATGAATTTAATGTTCAGAAGTGTTAGAACAAGATAAAGAAACACCAAGGGTGTCTGATGAAGAACTCAAGCAGACAGCTCAAGGTAAATAAACTGAAATAAAACCATTTCTTGGTGTTTGAATCCAGGTCTAGGTACTGATCTGKGAGTTAGCAGAGCTTGGCAATGTTGCTGAGCCTTGACTTGGCTGTATATTCAATTTTCCTTCCAGTCTAGTACCATCAAGTATTCAAATCCCAAAACAAAAACCCTTAGTCCATGCCACCAAACAGTTTGAAAAGGAATCTGGAATCACTTAACACCTATCTGGGGTTGGTGAACARCATAACCAGTTCTCAGAGAACTTGGTATTTGTTGCTTGTGCAATTACAGGTCTTTATAGCATACAGAAATTAAAGGCCAGCACTAAAGCCCTCGTGCTTTCCCACATGGATCTCCAGATCTAAGAGCCATGTATTCCTTTTTATCCAGAGACAAGTGATGTATTTTAAGGCATCCATTAAAAAAAAAAAAAAAAAAAAGTAGGGAGTGACACTAAACTCATGAAGGAGCAAAACCATCATCCTTAATGGGGATAATTTAGCGTGAAGTGTTCTTTCTACAGGGACACAAAGTACCACACATGCCCCAAAAGGTGAGAACACTGGAACTTTTCCATCCATCCTTCTCTCTCCCTCTATGCCAGCACATGTGCAGCTTTATATCCATGTTCTGGAGCATAAGCCCTTTGTCCTGCTCTCATCTGTAACACAAAGCAATGCTGTCCTCATCTCAGGAGCTCCTAAAAGCTCTCACACTCCAAATAAATCCTGTGTCCTGCCAGTCCACAGCAGCCAAAGGACAAACAGTGATACGAAACAAAAGTTTGTTGTGATTCCAGAGGAGGCTGAGCACGGTGCCAGTGCTGGGAAGCTCAGCCACCACACCACCAGAGCACCTTGTCTTTCAGGATAGCCAGCACGGGCAAGTTAATTACAGCAGAATTAATTACCTGGACATGACACAGCATGGAGGTACAGCCACCTGCTAATGGAGCATCTCAGTGTGATGGAGCAGGGCCCATAAATACACTGCAGGTGCCTTCCAGAACCTGGGGGGAACCTACCAGAAACACAGAGATGAGCATGGAGCGATGAGACAAAGGGGAATGGATTCAAACTTAAAAGARGGTATGGTCAAATTGGATATTGAAAAGTAATCCTTGCATGTGAGGGTGGTGAGGCCCTGGCACAGGTGCCCAGAGCTGTGGCTGCTCCTGGACCCCTGGAAATGTCCAAGGCCAGGTTGGACAGGGCTTGGAGAAACCTGGAATAGTGGAAGGTGTTCCTGCCATGGCAGGGGGTGGAATAGATGAGCTCCAAGTTCCTTTCCAACCCAAACYATTCTRTGATTCTGATTCTATGCCATGGCAGCAGTGATGCTCCTGAGGAACATGCCCACAGCAGGGACTACCACAGCCATGGATCTCACCTGAACTACGTGTAGGACATTTTCAGGGACGTTTGCAGGCTGGGGTGGGGGTGAGACGGAGGATCAAGCCAACATTTGACCGCCGTGTCAGCACCCCCAGCCTCACACCGCTGCGTMCACGTTACACCGTTGTGACCCCTCCCAGCCAGCTCCCACCGCGTGGCTGCCGGCACCGTTTTACCTCCACCRCCTGAACCTGGGAGCACAGCACAGSCCCCCAAMAKCTSGAAGGAGCCCCGCGAAGGTGAATTACCGACCCCAGGGGGGTCGGGGCGGAGCGGGGCGAGGGAGCTCCGGAGGGGCCGCGCCCTGAGGGGCGGGAAGGGCGGGCGGGAGCGCGCCCGTGAGGCGGCGCGCGCGGGCCGCGGGGGGCGGGGCCAGCGTGGGGGCGCGCGCTCCGCCCCGCCGCGGATAGGAGGGGCGAGCGGGGGTGGGCGGGGCCAACCGCTGAATCCCGCGTTGCGATTGGATAAAGCGGCCGTCAATCTCGGGCGGCCGCCGCGGCCGTGGGGAAGGAGGGGGAGGCGGAGAGGAAACAAAAACAATCGCCCGGGCGCCGCCATCTTGGGCCGGTTCTCCGCACGCCACACGGGTGAATGGGTAGATATGAGATTACCACGGGGGAGCAGCGGCAGCAGGGCACCGAGGGCTGTTCCGCGCTGCCAGCGACACTCGGCGGGCTCTAGGCACGGCCGCCGCCGCCCGGAGAGAATCCCCCGGCTCGGCCTTTTCGCCTCGCCAGCCCCTAAGCTGCACTGCTGGAGGGACAAAGTTGGGCTGAGCCGCGCTGCCTCCGCCGCCCGGGAGACCGGAGAGTTGAGCCGGGGTCAGAGTTAGGGGAGAGGGTGACGAGGGGATCGCTCCCCGCTCCGCCGTGTGGGAGGCGCGGGGAGAAGGCTCTGCCTCCCCGCCCCTGCCGTCTCCTGCTGCTCGCTCCTGGGAGGAAAARAAAAAARAGRAAAAAAAAAAAAAAAAAAAGAAAAGAGAAAAGGCAAGAACTGGATTGAGCTCGGAGGGGTGGATTTTTGTGGAGTCTCAGTGTGAGCAGCGGCGGGGCGGCGATGTGTCCGTGAGGAGGGAGAGGAGCGTGGATCCATCCAGGAGCCGTGAGGAGCCGAGAGGAGCTTGGATCCATCCAACCTCAGCCCGCCGTGAGTGAGGCACAGCCGCCTCCCTTCCAAAGAAAACCCAGTTCTCCTGGAAGCCCGGCACTCACCAAGGATTTGCCACAAAGAATATACCACCCTCCTCCCCGGCGCCTGGATACTGCGTTTGATTTTTTTCTTTTGTACCCCCCTCCCCAGCCACTCTTGTGTGTTTAAATACCAAATATAGCCTCTCGCGGGGGGGAGGGGATGGAAATCTCCTAGAAGAATTGGAAATCTTGCTGGGATTCGGGAGTGCTGGTGCTGGAGAAGGGCGGCGAAGACGGGGGGATGCGCTGCTCTCGCTGCCTGGCCAAGGACTAGAGATTTGCCACTTCCCGGGAAGCCCGAAGGTTTGTTTGTTCCCAGACTGTTGTTTCCCCCCTTTCCCTCTCCTGGGCTACGCTAAATCCCTCAGCATTTATTGAAGAAAACCCACGTGTAGCTGGTGGCTGGTTTTTAAGGTAGTTTTTTTCATCGAGAAGCTGACAAAACTTCCTCCCTTCKCCCCGAGGCTTGGAACTGGAATGGAGCTGCTTTTCTCCCAAACACTACACGGGGTGTGAAGGGGGGGAGGAAGGACGAAAACATCGCCCTGGACTGATCCCGATCCGACCCCCCGACACTCGCACCCACGAGGGATGATCCTTCACGGCGCCTGATGTGGAAAACACTTGGAGACTCAGAGACTTCGTCGTGCTCAGCAGCTTAATCGTTGACTTATTTTGTTTTGGTTTTTTTTTTGTTTTTTTGTTTTGTTTTTTTTAAAGTGGATTCGTAGCATTACTTTTGTGAATTAAATTTTGCCACCGTTTGTACAGAAGCCAAATGACACGTGTGTTTTGAAACACGGTTCCAAATATATTTATCCCTCCCTCAACCCGGATTCTCTCTAGAAAGAGCCGCGGGGAGGTCGTCAGTGTCTCAACAAACCTGATTTTTAGTGTTTTATGAACACTACCTGCTGCAGAAATGTTGCTATAAATTGCTTTATAACGGTTCAGCAAGAAGGGAGATTTTTTTCCAGCTTGCAGGACCCAGAAAACTGGATACTTAAAGTCATTTAAATGTTTTAACAGCATTGGAAAATGGGAGCTGCTACTAAGTTGGCGTTCGCTGTTTTTCTTATCTCTTGTTCATCAGGTAAGTGAATGTTCCTGGATTTGTCACTTTAAACGGAAGGCTTTGTGGTCAGCACTTGAAAACTTGGGCTGGCTCTGTATGAATGAGGAGAAATCTTCCCTTTTTTTCAGGTGGCAAATGTTTGTGGACGGCAGCGACTGTAAAGGCAGAAAACTGCTTTCGTGTTTATTCTGAAAAATGTGTATCGTGAGTGCTTGAAATGTGCACAGCGCTTGGATTTCAGATCAATTGTGTGGAATAAATGTGGAGATATAACCACCTAGTGTCACATAAGTAACCTGGCAGCGCAGTATTGGTGTTGGATAGTGGTTTTAAATAAGAATTACCCAGCCCAAATGCTCTTTCCTTCAGTTTGATCTCTTACTCGTATTCACTGGTGAATAGCCACCTTCTTTAATGCCTCATTAATTTAGAATAGGTGCCGCTCTGAAAGGCTGAGCTCGTCCTTTGGTGATAGCGAGGGGTGTGTGCGTGTAGAGATGGACCAACAATTGGGGTGAAAAGCCAGGCTTTCAGTTTCTAAACAAGAATTTGTAACCCTTTCTATTTTGCTACTCCTTATGTCACTGCCTTGTAGTACAGAAAAAAAAAAAGTACTAATTTTCTCTTTAAAACAGCGAAATTCGAGGTCCAAACGCCAGCTCTGAGTCCTGGGAAGCGAGCGGGGTGTGAAGATTTCCCCACGCTTCTCCAGGAGGAAAATTGTTATGGCAGCAACCAGTGGTTGGGCAACTGTTGGTCCATTTGTGCTTGGAGCTCYGGCAGTCTCACAAAATACCCTGTTACGAGCCGTGTGAGCACCTAACAGGAGTTTACAAGCCAGCCTGGCACYCTGTGCTTGCCTTTGGAACGTGTATTTAGCGCTCCGTGTAGGTTTTTAGCATCCTTGCAGGGCGTGCAAAGCTACACTTGTTTATCAGGCTAAAAGCTCCCAGACAAGTGCTCAGCTCAGGGGGAAGGGAGTAATGAGATGCCTGTAACGATGCCTTTTAAATTTTCAGCCTTAGGAGGTGGWGGATTTTGCTGAAGAGGCCGTTTTGCTGTGGTTAGTAAATGGATAAGTCTCGTCTTGTGTCTGTAGTGTTATCGATCCGCGCCGTGTGCGCTAAATGTGCTGTGAAATGGCGAGCGCTGCCRGAGAGAAACCCAAAAACCCTGGCTGTTCTAACCAAAGAAACAGCACAGCGGGCTAAGGACGGTCAGAAGGTTGTTCGGGAGGTTTAATTTTTATTCTTCTTTTGAAACAAAGCGTCATTTTCGACAGTTTTTCCCTTGCAATAGAAGCCGTCTGTGTCGTCTTTTCCTAATGCCTGATTTTTCAGCTCAGCAGCGTTCCTCTTAATTCAGCAATATGTTTTGTAGGGAAACTTTTTTCCCCCTCTCACTAACAGTTTCTGAAAGACTTGCTGCCATCTGCTCTCCATGTCTGTCTCTCTTCCACGTCCACCTCTAAGATCCTTTTGCCTAGAGCACAGAATAGTGGTTTTTGTTGACATTACCTATCAGACTTCATAAAAAGAACAGCTAAGCAATAAAGAACGTCTTCTCTTTAACATTTCTTGCTCGGGTTGTCCTTGGTAAGGTGGAAAGGATGTTTCTCTTTGCCTGTGAAGAATTAATCTTTGCTAAATGAGCAGGAAACTGCCTGCAATCCGGGCTGCTTCTCATGTTAATGACATTGTTTTGGTGGTTATTCCAGTATTACACATTAAGTGTTCCGGTACTTAACAATTATTATACTATTTTCTACTCACACCAGGACTACAGACACTCTWAAATTCTAGGCAAGTCTAAAAATAAATAAATTCAACAGCAAACTGTTGGGTTTATGATCAAAAAATACCAGATTATATAAGATTTTAAGCTTGAAGGGTAGGCGGTTTTAAGAGTAGTGTTTCTTAACTGACTTATTTCGTTTAAAACCCCTACCTGAAGGTTTGGTTCTAACATCATCATCATCATAAGTTTCTTTCCCAGTCTTTAGTGTGAAAATCAGTGTGCTCAGGTTCTGTATTTCAGAATATTGGCAATGGTTGAGGAAATCCTGGAGTTCAGGTGTGGAGATGCCTGGTTTGCCTCTGGTGTGCAGCTCCAGCTCCTCACGAGCTGTTTCAGCGTCTGGGGGGGGTTGGTTTGCTCTATTTGTTCATTTATTTTTAAATGCAGCTATTTTCTTCAGATGTTTACATAGGCAATTAATACCGGGGTTCTTTTAATAGGTGAAAATGTTGTGGGTTTTTTTTTCTGCGTGGTGGGTGTGGAAGTGYTCTTTAGGTTCAAGGCAATTTATTTTACTATCTGTAAACTGCTGTATGAAATCCTGTAAATGTGCTGCAAATGGACAGGAATTTCCAGTGAGTTTAATCATCTTTGTCGAGGGAGTGAAAATATTTCCCAGTTCTGACTAAGATATTCGAAAAAGAGCATCTGTGTTGTTATTAGGCTTTAAAATATTTGTAGCTGCTTGGATAAAAGTGGGTGTAGATTTGCACCCATTTGTAGGAACTCCAGAGGCTGACTKGAATGCATATTAACTAAACATGAAAACCAAGTGCCCGGGTCAAGGTTCTCTGTGTGCACTCTAATATACTTCTTAGATAAACCTGGGTGCATGTTTGATTTAAGAAGGAACAGAAGATCCTGAAGTAATAATAAAATACTTCAGGACAAGCTTCCTGTGCCTCTGCTGTAGGTGAGGCAAGATTGTAGGGGAGCTTAACAAGAAAACTTGTGACTAAAACAGCTTGTTCATCAAAGGAGGTTCTCTTTAGATATTATCTGTGTGCTCCCCTCCCCCAGGGAAGTGTGTTTGTGTTCTGGTGTTTTTGTGATTGCTGAGTTATGCTTTATAACATTTCAGGAACAGAGAATGGGCACT